TTATTATTTGGCTGATAATATATATCTAAAATGGGTTAGCATTATGCAAATTATTCAAAAACCACGTACTCCAAAGAAAAACTATTTTGCAATGAAACAAGAAGTTAATGTGATATCAAATATAAAAGATGAATATTTGATGTAAGCTTAATCACCCAATAAAAATAATGATTATTTAACCAATTATAATTGTTAGGGAATGAATCAATGGAGATAAAAATTAGGCTTGATACATAACGATAATATCACTTAATTTTTAAATCTATTTTTAATATAAGAAATTAAGTTTATTTTTGAATGTCAACAACTTCATATTGCTGCATAAATATATATTTCAGTTATTTGATAGTAGACTAAGCCTTCGTTTGGGATGGCTTTCTTACTGTGTTTTTTTTTTTTTTTTTTTTGAAGAAATGAAAATAATGCATTAAATTGAAAGAAAAAACAACCTAATACAAACTAGAAAGAAGAAACTAATGGTTCCTTTATCAACATGAAAAGAAGCCTTATTGAAAGCAAATATGTTAAAGTAAACTTATTATAATTGAAATGAAACCCACTATTTCCTATTTTAAAACCGTTTAGTTGCAGGGGATACCAAAGTTTTAAACAACCCGAGGGTTGGTTTGTATCCTAGAGTTCCCACTCGGTTAAAGAATAAGATTTAATAACGATCCCATAAGCAATTAGAATAAGTTAAAAAAAACAAATAACAAACTAAAAGAAAAAAGAAGTAACAAAAGCTAAAAAGAAAAATACAAATTTTCAAAGACTTCGAAAAACCACCTAAGAATATCACGGATAGATATTCCATAAGTTTCTTCCAACTTCCAAAGTCGTAATTCAAAGCTAGTATTATGACAAACTCTTTGATAAATTGCTCCATGCTCAAGTAACTTTCCACTTTGTTGATAGCAAAGAGAAAACCAGCTTGCATATTAATGAGATAATAGAGAAGAACCTCTCATAACATTCTTCATTTTGAATTCAGCCAAACTTCTTCTAGGTAGATCTTTCACAGATCCTAAGGCTTGAAGTTCTTTGAACAATATGTGCTTAGAGCCGGAAGAACCACTCATTTTAGTAGACAGACTTTTTTCTTTCTTAAAAACAATTTTTTTAAAATTCAAACTAATCGCAGAAGGAGGAGAAATATCCTCAAACCATCAATACTATCTTTCATTTCCAAAAATGTTGCTGAATTAGTAGTAGGAGAAGTTGAATTATGTTCATCAGCCACCTTTGACTCAGCCGCTAAAACAGTTAAAGTAGGAACAATAGCCAATTCTATTACAAAATTAATAGCATCCTTCTCTTCCTCCTAAATATCAAAATTTTGAATTCAAAATCTGATTTGTTTGCTCCCAACAGATCAGCAACATCGGTAGAAACTGCATCCAATGGACCAGCTTTATTACCAACGGTTCCCTTAACATCATCCACAATTTTAGCATTTTTGAATTCAGAATTTGAATTTTGATTGAGTCCATTTTCTGATTCATGAACTCCCATTAGATCAGCATCCAAAATAGGTACATCACAAGTAGCTCCCAACGGATCAGCAACCAAAATGGGGAATTCAGAATTTACATGAGAGGATTTATTATTCCACGCAATAAAGAATTCAGAATTTACTAAACCAAACCTAAATATAAAATTTCACATATCTTAACAATATTCTATTTTTTTTACATGAGAGTTCCTTACATCAGCCATCACTCCACTCAAATAGATCGAAGTATCATCAAATAACATGCATTTAGAGCTCACTTAATCACATGAGAATATTAATTATTGGAGATATTCACCCTAAAGTTAAAATTTTTGTACTTAAAAAAAATTGCTTTAAGAAGTAGTAAAAAAGTTGTTCCAAACGAAACCTTAGCTCAATGTCAACCACTGCTATGTAACATTGTATTATGAAATAGATAACAAATGACATCTTAAGATAATACTTTCATCAATGATATTAAAAGATAGGTAATTTAGTTCATTGATATTTGGTAGTTAATACTATATTATTAATAGATATAAGCTTACTTAATAGAGATTTAATTCTATATTTAAATGGAAAATCTGATTATTATATGTGACATTATATTACAACGACATGCATATTTCATAGATTATACTGTTATTACAGGAAGTACAAAACTGGCTATATCTGGCAGGACCTCACCAACGATGACCTCATCATTCCCACCTCCTAGTGCGAGTATGTATTGAAGGGATCTCTCCTCTCTCCCATCAAAATCTTTGAGACGTTGAAGGTAGAAGAAAAGTCCTTGGCTGCTCCTGTGACTTTAAGAACCCCACGTGAAACATTGCAGAGAGAAAATAACTATTTCTTCAAAGTCTCCTACAGAATTAGAGGAATTGTCGCCAGTAGAAGCATCAAATTCAAGCTCGGAAGAACCCCAAAGGAAAACTGTGATTTTCAAGATAGATTCTTGGAAGGACGAGATGAAGAGAGTAGAGAAACTCAGCTGTGAAGAAATTGCTCCCATGGAGAATGGAAGGCAGGTTATTGAAGTTAAAAGTAAGGAAATTGGCGATAATAAAGCTCGCAGCAGGGCACCATTTCATAATATCCCAAAGTGAGAAGAGAGATGGGAAGAAGTTTGTACATTCTCAAGGTTCACAGGACATGCTCTCTTTCATGAGTAAAGGAGACCTACATGAAGTTGGCTTCTTGGGTCCTAAATACACTAGGTGTAAATAATAAAAATGGAGGAGGAAGGATTAAAAATGGAGGAGGAAGGATCTTAGAGAGATTAGACCGATGTCTTCTTAATTGTGCTGCTCTAAATCTTCTCCAGATGGCGGTGGTAAGGCATCTAGCTAGAATAGCATCGAACCATTGTCCAATCTCTATTAAAATCTTGGCTTCCAAGTGAATAAAGAGGAGAAATTTTATGTTTGAAGATACTTGGTTATCTTATAAAGCATCTCGTTCAGTGGTTCTAGCTTCTTGGAACAAACGAACTAGAGGTTCTGCTACAGACATCTTAAATGCCAAGTTCAAAAGAACTTTGAGGTCCTTATTCTTTTGGAGTAAGGAAAAACATAAAAACCTGGTTGAAGAAAAAGATAAGCTGAAAAGAGAAATAATGGAATTACAAGAAGAAGAAGTGAATTTGGGAGGTTTATCAGAATTGAAGCTTTTGTTGTTTTAGGTCTAAAATTGCGGACTTTAATATCACGCTGGGCAAGCTTAGCATGTGGTGGAAGTAGAGGGCAAAAATTCAATGGTTGAAAGATGGAGATTCAAATTCCAAGTTCTTCCATGCTTTTGCCACGGCAAGAAGAAATGCTAATAGGATTAATGGTGTTAAAAATGAAGAAGGATTCATCTGTGAAGACAAGCAGAGCATTGAAGAAGTTTTTATCAAGTTCTTTAGCTGTAAATGGAAATCAAGGAATTGTAGATTAGAAGGATGGCCGCAACCTTCTAATAAGCTCGATGAGGAGGATTGTAAACTTCTATGAAAAGAATTTTCTATGGAAAATCTGGAGGAGGTTATTACAAACATGGAATCCAATATATCACCAGGTATTGACGGCATCACGTATTCTTTTATTGAATCTTATTGGTAAATCATGAAGCTTGTGTATGGGCTGCTATCAATGATTTCTTTATTTCTGGTTCTCTTTGCCCTTGTTGGAAAGAGACTAATTTGGTATTAATTCCCAAAGTAGATACTCCCTTGACTCCTGCTAACTATTGTCCCATTAGCTTGTGTAATGCTATTTATAAAATTGTGGCTAGGATGATCTTAAACAGGATGAGTTTCTTATTTCCTAAAATCATATCTAAAGAATAGAATGCTTTCATAAAGGGACAGTCAATGTCAGATCAAATATTACTTGCTCAAGAATTGTTTAACAAGTTTAGACACTCTAAAGCTAAGAAAGGATTGGTGGCTATCAAAGTTGATATGGAACAGGCCTATGACAGCATGTGTTGGTCTATATTGGAAAAAATGATGGATTGGTTTGGGTTTCCTAAGTTTTTTTCAAAGTTAATTATGGAATGTGTTGTTAATCCCAAATTCTCTATTTTGATTAATGGTGAAAGTTCTAACTGGATAGAGGCCTATTGTGGATTTAGACAAGGATGCCCTTTGTCTCCTTTTCTTTTTATCATGTGTTCCCAATTATTGACAGAAGAATTTGGACATAGAGGGAAAAGGATTGGTGTAAAAATTAATCCAAATGGCCCTATGATTTCTCACTTAATGTATGATGATGACATTGTGAAATTTACAAGAGCTAAAAAGAAATGTTTGAAGAAAGTCAATAAAACCATGAAGAACTATTGTAGTTGGACAGGTCAGAAAATAAACTTGCTTAAATCAGTGGTTCTTTTCAGAAAAACTGTGAAAAAGAGGGATTGTAGATCTCTTCTCAAGATTATCAAGATGAAAATGGTGAAAGAGATTGATTATTTGGGAGTAAAGATTGCACTTATAAGATTGGTCAAATCAGATTTCAACAAACTCATTGTGATCTGCGGCTAAAATAAACCTTTGGGGAACTAATTTTATTTCTCTTGCAGGAAAAACTACTTTGATCAATTCTTCAGTTCTATCATTGCCTATTTATATATCTAGCCATTCTCTGATTCCTTTGGGAGTTTTATATGAAGTGGAGAAAATGTGCAGAGATTTGAAAAAAGATGGAAGTTATGGAATGCACTATGTTACTTGGAACATCTTGTATAAACCAAAAAATAAAGGAGGCTATGGTTTACAATCTATGGTGGAGAAATTGGGACCTTTGAGGTCTATTTTGCGCTAAATTTCATTAAAAAGCCCAACTCTCTTCTCAATAGAGTTTTAAGAGCCAAATATGGAAATGTATTATGGAATGTTGCTACTAGAAGCTGTTGCTCTTCAACCTGGAAAATCATCCTAAATGGAGCAAAATATTTACACCTTGTTATGAGGTGGAGGATTTCTAATGGAGAGAATGTAGATACTTTCAAAGACATTTGGATTATGGATAAGATAACTGATAAATGGCCTACTTTTGAAACTGTCTTAAATCCAGAATTTTGTCAGGTTTGGGCTTTTATTTCTGATGGAATGTGGGATATGAACAAACTGAAGCTCTGTTTTGGTCAATACCTAATTGAAATGATCATCTCAATACTAATTCATATTGAAGTTAATGAAGACAAGCTGGATTGTATCAAGAAGTTCTCTGGTAGATCTATAGCAGCAATTGCAAATGAGAAAAGATTTGATAATGATAGAGAAGATAAAAATTTGATCTGGAGAAAGAAATTGATGTTAAAGCCAAAGATTGATATGTTTTGGTGGAGATTATACAGGAATGGTATCCCTACGTTTGAATTTCTTTTGTATAGGAGGCTTGCTGAGTTTGGAGATTGCCCGAGAGGTTTTAAGGAGATGGAAGATACAGAGCACGTGGTTTCAAAATGTTATTTAATTAAATGGGTATTGAAAATGCATGCTGATTGGCATTTTATTATTCCAGCATTTGATTCTTTAACTGGATGTTATCTGTTACTAAATAAATTGGCTACATCTAATCCGTTCCTTGGAAATCGGCTTTGCTCTGTGGTTTTCTATTGCTGGAAAAGCAAAAATAAACTAGTTCATGAAGGGACGGATGACAGTTGTTCTACCATTGCTTCAAATTCCATTATTCAGACTGTTTCATCTTTTGATTCTTGTTTAATCCATAATAACTGGAATGCTAATAAGCTGTTTAAGCTGTCACAATCTTCTTGGCATCCTCCTCCTCCGGGTTGGATCAAGGTGAATATAGATGCTTCAGTTCCTCCTAATAACAAAGCTGGCATTGGAGTAGTTTTCAGGGACTGTAAAGGCCATGGATTAGTTGCTTTTGGATTTCAATGTCTTCATTGGGATTGCTCGCAAATGGAATTATTTGCAATTCTAGCATTGAGAGATTATATTCAAGATTGGATGCTTGAAGTTAAAGGCATTGTGATTGAGGGTGACAATTTGAATGTCATTAAGATCTTTCAAAATTCCTTTACAAAGCTAGTGTTAGATGAAGAATTTCTAAAGCCTAAGGATTTAGATTTTCTTTCTAATTTTAAGCATTTCATTTTTTCTTTTGCTAATAGAAATTGTAATAAGTTAGCTAATTTTTGTGCTAACTATGCTCTTTTTTCGTCCTTCTATTGGGATGATTTATCTAGGGATAAAGTTCCTCCTTCTTTTCTAGAATTGTTGAAGGATGAATCTTCTTGTAAGTAGTTTGTGAATAAAAAGTTGCTTATTGCTTTTTTTTTTTTTAAAAGCAAGGCACCATTTATTTTGAGAGATTTTATGAGCTGTAGAATGGTGGGGACGAAGGATTCTATTTTGAAAGCTGTGAGCAATCAGAATCAGAGTGGTAGTAGAAGGAATAGCAGCAGCAATACCTAGGTAATTTTTTTGTTTAAGGTGATGAAAGATCAATATTAAATAGCAACAGTGGAGGAAAAGTTATAGCAACTAGGAAGAAAATTAGGGATCGGCCAGCAATTATTGTAAAAGAAAACTTTGTTAAAATATTTTGATACAAATGGTAACAGGATGTTTGAATACCTTTTTATTTGGTTTGAGATTAGTATTATATTTAACGAATTTGCACTGCACTAATTTCTAGATAAATTTAACAGTATTTAAACCCATCCTGATACAATTTGTATGATGATATTTTAATCTAAGTTTTCTATAGTAGTCTAGGCTATTGTTATTATTAGTGGGTAGATTACTTGTAATTGAACAATTAGTTTAACTACATTGTAATTGGTTTGAAACTACTATAAAAAAAACTTCAATGGCTCGCAGGGGGGCCAAGATAGAATTTCCCTGCAAGTTCTCCTCTTATTTCTTCTATAGCATTAGCAAATCAAAAGTTCAAGTTGAAAGTTCGTTAGGGATGTTAGGCCTATGAACTAGTCCCGAGGATAACCAAGAGGGAGGTTAATTGGTATTTTAAAAAAAACTTTAAATAAAAGAATGAATATCACAAACCAAAGTCACCACAGAAAAGCAAGTGCAGAAAATTAAAGTGCAGAAGAAGTAAAAAGAACAAAAGGGTTTATAGTGGGTGGTCAACTTGACCTACGACCACTCCCCGGAGGCACCCTCCGAGTATTGCACTACCAACGTGACCCTCCTTTAGCCCCCACAGCTAGGCGGAGAAGCCCTTACAAAAACACCTCCTGAATTTGTGCTGGCCGATATATATCGTCCAGGAAAAACTAAGGGTTTTTGAATATATCATCCCGGTCGATCCTGCAATCGTCCAGGATGATGTGATCGTATCAATTCATCCTTAATTTCTTCCTTGATTGCCGGATCAATTTAGGCATAATTGTGCAATATCGTCTAGGCCGATCCAAGATCGTCCTGGCTGATTTCCAAAAATGCAGAATACCTAAATTGATTATGGCGGCTATTTCTTTCTATTTTGATCCTATAGTCCTTGACGAAACAAGTATCATCTGAGCCGATCGGCTAATGACGGCTGCCTTAATTAAGAAATCCTAATTAGAGTTTCTGTTTTGAACTCGATCGTCCAGGTCGATATAAATATCGTCCGAGAAGATGTGAGTAAAAATAGAAATTCTAAATCTCTCAAGTGTGTGTGTGTGTGTAGGGCTACTTAGCATCAGACACTTCACAAGATTACAATTGACTCAAGAAAGGGAAAAAGAAAAAATACAGACTGACTCAGACCTAGTCTACCCAATCTTGATCTGGCTCCGTTTGTCGTTTGATCTCTTGGCCCTGAAATGTTAGTAGAAATAGGCAGTCAAAGTGTTTGCTCACATCAAAATCACAATCCATAAAACCAAGTTTGCAACAATCTCTCCCTTTTTGATGATGGAAAACACTTTGATGATTATAGCAGTGTTATTCAAGAATTTCAAAAATTCATAGTAGAAATAAGTGCAAGTACAAACTAAAGCAATAAGCATAATCAACAAGTACAAATAAGTGCATGTACAAACTAACAAGTACAAACATAATCAACCAGTACAAACATATTACTCCTTCTTTTGGCATCTCAAAAAGGAGGAGGGAAATAAAAAACAACGAAAGCTGAAAATGTTCAAAAAGAAGGAAAAATAAACATAAGCAACTAATGGAAACAGAATCTAAGATTAGAAAGATGAAGGACCCTGATCATCAAAAGAAGGAGGTGGTGGTGGTGGTGGTTGCTGAAATAAACTGGTCATGATAGCAAACTGAGAGCCAAACCAGGCCATGTCCTGGTCGTGCTGCTGCTGCTGGTGTACAGCAAGGGTATCGAAATGGGTTATAACCTCATCGTGCTGCTGCTGGTGGTGAACTACAAAAGTGTTGAATCGGGTCTCCAACTAATCAAATCTCTCTACTAACTGATCAAATTGTGAGTGCTGGCGGAGAGGAGTAGGTTCAGGAATAGGAGCGGGAGCCTACTCCTCCTCAGCCCCCTGAGGTTCCCCATCCCCTGGGTGGAGACGAGTACTATGAAGGATATTGAAAGAGCTGTTCGAGTAGAAGAGAGTTGGGAGGTTGGGAGGAGCAGGATATTGAAGTTGATATTTGGTTTCAAGAATATAAGCTATGAGATATCCTAAAGCAAGGTTCGGTCTCCTCTTATGACGTAGAATGCAGATTGTTGTCAAATGATTAATGCAAAAAGAAATTAGGTCAGTAGCATTAAATTCTCTATGTGCCATAATGTAAAAGGTAGTCAGAGAAAGTAGAGGAGTGATGTGGACTTGGTCCCCGGCTTTTGGAATAATGGAAGTCCGAAGGACATGCTTGATTGTCCTAGCATCTTTGATTAAAGAGCTAGTTTCTCCAACATGAAAGGGTGCGTTGGTCTGGTGAAGGAAATTATTTGCAGTGGATCAGTTAAAATTAGGATCTGAGATAATGGTATGTAGCTTATCCCTAGTGGTGGATAGCTGCAACAGTTCAGCACAGTCCTGATATGTGATCTCGACCGGGTGTCGATTCACATAGGAGGTCAGGGCTGTTTAAGCAGAGTTTATGCAAAGATTTGCAAAGAATTCACGAAGAAGATCAGAATTAAAGGGGAAAATAAGAGTAAGAATGAAGCATAGAGAGGAGTGGGTAAAAAGGTCTAATACCGGATATGAGAGGTGGATAGGGTTGATGATTCTGGAGAGAGTAATCCCACACTATTTATATCGATGGTAAGCAGCTTTATCTTCTGCCTCCCTGAAACAAGGATCAATCCTAGCCCTTGAAGAGCTCCTGGAAGTTTGTCGAACTCGCTTTCCACCAGCTATATCAAGAAAGCAGTGAGCAAATAAGAGAGGAGAAGAAGCTTGAGGTAAAAAATAATGGCTAGAAGGCCTAAATTTAAACAAGCGGCCACATCGTCCAGGACGATCGTAGAATCGTCCAGGATGATATGGTTCAATTATTGCGTACATGCCGATTGGTCAAAAAGGCGGTCCGATCGTCCGGGCCGATCAGGTATCGGCCAGGATGATTAGACACAGGCGATCATCCCAAGGAGTCAAGCCGGACGACTGTTGAAAAAGAAGATCGTCCGGGCCGATTAGGTGTATCGTCCAGGATGATGGATAATAATTGATCGTACCAGCCAAATTTAAAACTTTTTAAAGCTGTGCCACGTGTATCGTCCAGGACGAACAGTGGATCGGCCAGGACGATTGTCTAATAATGGATCGTCCGGGGCCAGTTTTAAGGATTTTAAATGTATTGACACGTGGATCATCCAGGACGATCTAATGTATCATCCAGGACGATTGTCATAAACGCATTGGCCCGAACAAAAGTTGTATCGGCCAAGATAATCAAGATGATTGTAACAGAGTTTAATTAGATCGTCTAGGACGATAAGGTATCATCCAGGACGATGATTTAGAGCAAGCTCAGAAAAGTTCAGTAGATAAAATTTTGAAGAGAAATTATCATACCGTCCAAGACTATAGAGATATCGGCTAGGACGATGTGACAAAAAATTGGAAACCAAGGAAAGATGGAGATGATCAGAGAAAGTCCCAAAAATAAATAAAATAAAAAGTTAAAAACCACAACAAAAAAATTAAAAACCAGCAAAGGAAAGAAAAACAAATTTTTTTGTTTTTAATATATATATATTGTTTTAGCAAAGCATCCATATGACAAATTTCCCAAAACATTAAATTTTAGAGATTCAAAAGACAATGAGTTAACAATGTTACAATCTGAAAATGGTAGAATATCTGATTCTGTTTATCCCTAGCTCATACTTCTTTAAGGGTTAAAAATTGACTTTTGAAAACAAAAGGCCTAACTCATATGAAACTAATTGGATAAAAAGAGAATCCGTTCAAAACTTGGCTATGAAAAATATCTTATAAAATAATATACCAAAATAATTTTGTCTCAATCATGAAATTTGAAATCAAGCCTTTGACAATATCAAATAACCCATGAGTTATTCTAAGTTTTAAAAGTTTTGAAAAGAGAGAATAGCTTGCATTTAGTGGGCTCATTTTATGCCTCTTGTCACTTTGATTGGCTCTTTGAGCATCTTTTGATTTTTGATACACTTTTGTGTATATATTTTTTATTTCAAATTGGCGTCTTTGCCACTTCCCCCTTTATTTAATTTGTCAGCTAAATTCTCTTTTACAATTTCTTAAAAATGATTCTTAGTTGTGAGTATATCTTCTAGATATTAGAGAATAGGAGCTTTCTCTCTTACATAGGGAAGAACTAGTCACAAAACACAATCAAGATCATCTGATATGTGCAATGGCAAGATTTCAATTAACTTGAAAGATGTAAAAAAAATAAACTTTGAACATTATATATAGGATAGATTATTGTAACAAGATAAAAAGATCTTAATTTCAAAAAACCATTTGTTAAAATGAGATAGACCTTTGTTTAGAAAAGAAACATTATACCACTAAAAGAGGTTAGAAGAAGGGAAACCATCAACGGTGTTTCTACCTTTAATCAATTTAGAGATGCTAAAAATTGGCTTTAAATCTCCAAAATCTAAATGCTTGAAAAACTCATCATATAGAAAACCAAAATTAAAATAAAAAAAAGATCAAATAACTAAAACAACAAAAAGCTACCACGAAAAAACAAAAAACAACATTAATCAACAAATGCATTTCAAGAATTTATGAAGAAGCAAGTTTAAGCAATTATGAGCTGTGAGCCTCCATTTTTTCCAAGTATCCTATGCTCTAATGAGGTCTTTAGTGAGATCAATCCTTCATAAATCAACAACTGTCAGATTTAGGAACCCAACTAGGTTTGGGTCCCTTCTTATGAATAGTAGAAAGTGATGCTTGTGTGTTATGCTGTGAATCATGCAATTTTGGTCTCCACACCCAATGTGTACTATGGTGAACAGTGCAAGTGTGTGAGATGTGTCCTAGCATGCCACA